TGCTGCTCTTAACTCCTTTTGGGGGTCTCTAAAGCACACTACAAAGTCCTATTTAACAACCAGAATCAAAGACAGGAACACTGAAATGATCCCCAGATTTGACATGGCCAATATGACACAATGACCTTCCTAACCCCATCTGGGAAAGAATCAACAGGTTATGCCATGACTGGTGGCACCATAAGCAGGTGGCAAAACTTTAGGTGACAGCTCAGTTGCAGCTCAGCTCAGTTGCAGGCGATGTGCATCAACACTGCCTGATTCAAAGAGCCAAGAAAGGAAATAAGAGCTGGCAAGACTCTTCCAATGAACTCTTGCTAAATATTTCCCCTAAAATAACATCAACTTTTTCCACTCTTTCCCCCCAAGAACCAACCACATTCTTAAGTAGATATGTTCTCTCTCTCTTCCTTCACTTTGACTCACCAGGTCTCTGAGCACGTGCCACATGATTAAAAATGCCACATCACGAAGCCCCACAGTGATACCAAATGGGCAACATATGCAATACAGTCAGCTTATGAATAACTTGGGAGGTTGAAACTTATTTACACAATGTCCTTGAATAAATAAAATCCAGGGGCAGAGCTCTTGGAGTCTTTTGAGAGCAAAGGTCCATGGAGGGCTGTAAATATCAATCCTTTGCCATTTCACTATTTCCACCAATTTGTGACTTCATACCCTCCCTTACACTGAATCCTATGTTCACTCTGAAATGGGAAATCAACCCAACAAGCCTAAAAATGGAAATGTGTATAGGATGACAACATTGAATCACTTATTCTCTGAATATTATTTTATCAAGTCCTGAAAGCAAGTCCACAAAAAACTCCCACATGCTGCCTAACAAAGCACGAACAATCAAGTGCTCCTCTCCAGTCTCTCTGAATGCATGAGGTGGATCCACGCACACATCACTGAGTGCTGGCTCACATTACAGACTGCTGGGACAAGCTGGGTCCTTACAGAGCTTCTGAATCACACCAAGACTGTGACACAATTAACTGCTCAGCCAACTGGAAGCTAAATCTTGCAAGTAAAAGAAATCCTAATCTTCTAGACTACAAATATAGCTGTTACTTAAGTTCCATCAGCTGCTGAGGTAGGAAAGAGATTCAAGAAGGGAATTCTGTACTTGTAAATAAATGCTTGTTACTGATGATGGGCTCCAAACCTATTGAACCTCTGATCATTTTGCTGGAAGCAAATGTCATCATTTTGCTGGAACCAAATGTCATCTAATGGATGACAAAAAAGAGGGCAGAAATGTCTTCTCATGTTGAAAGAGACAATTATTAGCTCATTCTGCTTGGAATACATCTGATTAAAAGTCAAGGTTGAGACACAAACATGAAACTTCATTTTCCAGATACATACCCTGTCATCTGCCTAAATTACTTCTCTGAGGTTAATGTGTGCTAGAGAGCTAAAGAGAGTGGGAAACAACTGAATGCAATACAGAGATGGAGGACCTGAAGAGAAGCAGAGACTTCAAAAGAAACAGTGTTTTGTTTTTCCTGCACAAATGCTCAATTTTTCTTATGTTAAGAGGACATCCAGTATCCAGATAGAGATACTAAAAATCTGACTGGATGTAGCCCTGGGCAAAAATGCTCTAGCTGACTGTGCATTGACCAGGGGGGCTTGGTTAGCTGATCTCATCCTTCCCACCTCATTGCCCTCTGTAGTTTTACAAGAGACAACATGAGACCAAGCTGTGCCAGGGCAGGTTTAGGCTGGATATCATGAAAGGTTCTTCCCCCAGAGGGTGCTGGGCACTGCCCAGGCTCCCCAGGGAATGGGCACAGCCCCGAGGCTGCCAGAGCTCCAGGAGTGTTTGGACAATGCTCCAAGAGGTGCCCAGGGTGGGATTGTTGGGGGGTCTCTGCAGGGCCAGGAGCTGGACTGGATGATCCCTGCGGGTCCCTTCCAGCTCAGGGTGTTCTATTAAACATAGATCAGAGGCCCTCTGAAACACTCATGTGGCAGACAGATGATCTTTCCCGAGAGCAAATGATGCCTTTCAGGCAGAGAAGCTGCACAGATGACAGATATCCTCTCTCCACAAACCTCTCTGCTTTGCGACACAACAGCTGCAACACAGACCTCCCAAAGCAGTGGGATTGCAGGGCTTGAGAGGATTACAGAAACATCCTAACAGTATTACCTCGGGCAGTGTCATTTAAGGTGTCTATCACTGCACCGTGTGATTCAGAGATTTAATCACATGACTGTCTTAGTCATCCAGGTAGTTTTCAGGGCCTGTGATGGGCTGAGGAAGCAGACTGAATCAGGTGATGGACTGAAGGTGCAGAGGCTCTTGCAGCATAAAGTAAACCACACAAAATGCACCAGGAATTCACTGCAGAAAGTTTGCTACTCTTGTCAGACCTGGAGAAGTGAGAAGGCCCAGTGCTACACAACAGAAGTGAACCTTGTGCAGGTGAATAATCTTTTTTCCCTCACAACTCTGTCCATTCTGCTGTGCTCACATGAATCTGTGCTGATTCTGAAACATCACCATGAGGATTTCCATGGGTACAACTCAAAAAAGCTGTGGCTGCCCCATTCCTAGAAGTGTTCAAGGCCAGGTTGGAGGGGGCTGAGAGCAACCTGGTTTGGTGGAAGGTGTTCTTGCCCATGGCAGGGGTTCGGAACAGGATGGGCTTTAAGGGCCCTTTCAACCCAAACTATTCTGTGATTCTATATTTGGGTTAAGGACAGCACTGGAGATTGCTGACTATGAAGCACTTCCAACAGAGGCTGCCCCATGTCAAACTCTGCATACACAATTACAGGCCCATCAGAGTTGGGCAAGCCACCATTAACTTACCCAGTGGGTGTTTCACAGTCCCTGATGACAGACACTCCAGGCATGCTTCTTCTGAACTCCAATTCTTGCTGTGACAGGACACAGACCCTTTGGAAAGGACTCCTGACTCCCCTCAGCTGGGGCATTACACAGACCTCCCGCTCCTGTCGGGCTCAAAGCTGGCACTGTGGGTTTTCTAAATCCATATCTGTTATGCAAAGAGCTCCACCTCTTGCCTTGTCCCAGTGGGCACATGTGCTCTGCCACCCATAGCATATCCTGCAGACTGGTTGGCAATCTATTTTTCCAGCATGTGGGAGGCCCACGCCTCTCTGCCATCTGCCACCATTCATTTCTTGTTGCTTCTGAAGCAACCTGAAAAATAACTCTGATTAAATTTAATGAAGCAGGAAACCCTCTGAGTAAATTTATTTCCCAAATAATCTGCTTACTGCTCTATCACTCTTGCTGTGTGTGACAGACACCCATCTTATCCCTCCTGCACTTCTGAATCCATTCATTTGCTCCTGTTTTGGCTCTAATGAGTGGACTGCCCAGTTTCCACAAGAACAGCTAGGAAGTGGGAAATGGGGGGGAATCTAGAAAGGATTTTTAGATAATAAGGTATAGCAACAAATAGGAATTCTTAAGAAAATATGAATTCTACCCTACTAGGCAAAAGCTTAGATGAGTCTAATGGATAACAAAAAAATCCCTGTCTGTCCCTGTCTGCAGGAAGGGCTCCGAGCAGGGACCAGGCTCTGCTCTAGGGCCCAGCCATGGCACAAGAGGCAAAGCAGAAACTGATGCACAGGAAGTTTCACCTGAACATGAGAATGAACTTTCCTGTGCACTGAGCAAGCACCAAAGAGGCTGCCCAGAGAGGGGATGGACTCTCCTCATTGGAGATATTCCAGAACCATCTGGATACAATCCTGTGTCATGTGCTCTGGGATGACCCTGCTTGAGCAGGGAGGTGAGACCAGATGAGCCACTGTGGGTCCTTCCAGCATGAACTGTGCTGTGATTTGTGTGTGAAAACTTCCTTTTTCTAAGCAAGTGAACATTCCCTGAAGCTAGCTAGCACTAGATTAAACTGTGTTAAAAGTGATCACTGCACCTTTTCTCCCCAGTCTGTATTCTGATAACATCTTTAACCATAGCAGAAAAATAAGCCAACGCCGTTACTTTGCAACATGATCCATTTCTAGAATGAAAAATCATTGCTATTTTTTTATCTGTAGCAGATCTAATAAATTAGCATCTTCTTCAGTAAATTAAATTGGCTGCTAAATAAATTTGAATTACTAAGTAAACTTGAATTACTCTTCCTGCCTATGTGCTTCGAAAAACACACACATTTTGTGTATCTGTCCCTCTGCTTTCAACTGGCTGTGCTAATTCCGTCAGATACTCAGGCAGCTCTGGAGGATTTAGGAAGTTACAACATCCCAGCTCACTGCAAAGGCTGTTCACATCTGTCTCTTGATTCTCGGGCAGGGCATCATTATTGACAGCAAGGTCTCCTCTGTGCTGAAGGCTTCATGCTGGCACTCCCACCCACACCCAGGAGGTGCTCCATGACACTGGAGCAATGGCACTAAGGGATCCATGTCTCAGGAATGAAGAATAGAAACAGCTGCTGTATGGGGAGGAAGTGGGAGAAACAGCTACTGGCATAAAGTGACACAGCCTCACGGAGCTGCCATGAAAACTGTCATCTCAAGGGCAAAATCTGATGTATTGCAATGAAGCTAATAATTAAAATATAGAGACCCACATTGCTTCAGACCCTAAAAAAGGGCTTTGGTCAAGGCAAAGAGAATTTTGCAGGTTCCCAATAGTGCCTTTCACGTTTACAGAGTACACTGCATGATCACTGTGCACAGAAGAAAAATTCCTGAAGTATTTCCTATTGCTCAGTGGCCTCTAGATAAATGTCTGCAGAGCTCCTGTACTGTACTGGGCCAGACCCTTAGCTGGGAAAACTGGCAAAACACTGCTGTGTGAGGGGAAAGTGGGAGATCTGTAACAGCTGAAGAGCTGCACAATAATTTCTTGAAGTAAGAAATTATGCCTGTTTCTGTGGGAGGGAGTAATTTACATAATAGCCACACACACATGCATAGATGCTAATGCCAACATTTACATATTTCACGTGTAACATATACCACACAAGTCACAGAACTCTCTCTGGAAGACTGTGTATTGTTGAATTAAGCAGTGCAAAAATAGGAATGCATTACCTTCAAAATAGCAAGACTTCCTCCCACCTCTTCCCCCTCCAAGTTCACGGACTATGCATTTCATCAGGATTCACTATATCAGCCAGGATTAACCACCTTAGCCAAGAACTCTACCTTGGGTTGAGTCTGACATTCATTTTAAGTCTCCTACCTGAACTTTTGTGTAGCCTGACAGATGCTGAGAACGTCCCACCTCCCTTCCTGAGTATTTCTTAGTTTCTGACACAACATCTGTGCTTCTGCAATGGAGGGACTTCTGATCATGGTGGCCATACCTTTTTCTGGCTTCTGTGCCAAAGAAGACATGGTTTAGCTTCTCCAGATACTTATCCAGCTCTTCTTGAGGTTACTCCAGTTGTTTACCAACATTACTGGGGGAAGAAGAGGGTGGCAGGGACAGTTTGCTTTTCCTCTCCTTCCTGGCTTCTTCCACATCTGGGTTTTGTTTCATTAGAACAAGCATGATGATAATGGGAGATAAGCAACCCAGACTGCTTCCCTTATGGTGGTGAGATACCAGGAGCTGGTCATGCCTGATGATGTACTTGGAATAAGCCAAATGGACCAAACCATGGATCAAATGCTAGTAGTCAGAACTCCCAGCTGCCAGCATGCACAGGAGGACTGGTGCCAGGAATCAAATGACTGGGGATGTCACTGCTGGATTTTCTAAAGTAGCATGTCTTACAAACATTCCACAGTTCTAAAGATGAAAACAGCAGAAACAGTAAGCAGCAGAAAAATTTTAAGCAGCAGAAAAATACAAGATCATCTGGCACAGTTCTGTATGGTCTTAAAATAGCAGCATCTCTCCTCTTTTTATGTTATGGAGCTGCAGGTTAATTGATCTTTAACTTTCCTTCTGTTAGAATGTTCCAGTTGATGTCTTTCCTGAAATGGTAAATTCTTCCTCTTCCTAATTCAAAGAAAAGTTAGGATTTCCCTCCCCAAATGAAGAGAATGTGTTATCCTTTAGGAGTGTTTGGATGCTAAGTCCACAGTCTCAGCATCTAGAAAACCAAAGTGAGACAAGGTAACATCAGTCACCTCAACCATAGGATCAGCAGGACCAATGTTGGCTTCTTTCTGGTCTTGAGAGAGGAAGTCCCTGCTGGGATTCTGAAAATAATTCCAGCTGAACTCTGTACGGATCCCTTGAAGATTCTTTGTGGGCGATTCCTTGGTGACTGTGGCCCCTGGTTACTCAGAGAAGGGCAGCCCAAAGAGAAGTAAATGCATTTCAACTGACTAAGCTCAGGAGAAGGGGTTGGACAAATGTCTGATGAATGTTCAGTGTCCAGGGTAACAGCCAAAATGACAACTGGGACAAGGGCCAGCCTGTGAGGGGGCTGGCAGGCCATCCCCTGAAGGCAGGGTCTCCATTTGAAGGCAGAGTCTGTCTGGAATGGGATTGCATTTCCTAACCTTTTCTCAGGGGATCTGTTTACAGAAGCCTAAAAGGAGCAGAGATCACACCCAGATTTCTGCTGCCTCTGTGTGTATTTTTGGCCTCACCCTGCCACAGAAATAACCCTAAAATTCTTCACTTTGTTCCCAAAAGTGAGACATATCCCCTGCTTTGCTACAGTGAATGGTCTGAGATAAGTTACAGTGTTCCTGTAACCCCCTGTTCTCTTTAGAAGATGATCCTCAGCTTCTAGGTCTCCAAGACTGATGCTGTGAAGCAGGTTTTGATCTAGAAGCACTGTGGTACTTCCCATCCCCTTTTGCCTTGTCTTTTATTCATTCCTGAGCTCACAGCTGTGCTGGATACTTCTGTAAGCAATTTGCTGCCTACAAGCCTGGGCCTGGCACTGCTGCTCTACATTTAGGGGGCAAATCAGCAAAGAGATACAGTATTCCCAGTCCAGTCACCCTGGTGGCACCAAACTCAAAAGCCAGGCACAAAGCTGAGGAGAGGATGCAGAAACAGGCAGGTCAGAATTGAGCTCAACTTTTTATCAAAACTGAGATACATTCCTTAAAGCAAGAACAGTGGGTCAGAGATGTCCAGGTAGATCAGAGTATCTCCCTTCCTCCTCGCTGCTATACATCATTAATGCCTTGGGGCATAGACCAAACCTCCAGCCATAGGTGTTACAGTTACTAGTAGAGCAAAACCCTGATCCCAACCCGACACTGCTGTAAGAAGAGACATCACTGAAACCCTAAATAGCACTGAAATCCTAAAGAAATGCTAAAAGGGGAAAACACAGCGTTTAAAAAACATTACTAAGACTGCACTGTGGCCCCTGTAAAAGGGGAAAAGGATGGGTGAAGGAGCCATGGCATTTCCTAACTTCTAATATCATTGCTTGCTTCTTTTCAAACAAATATAATACAGCAAAGCTTAAAGGTGAAGTACAGACTGCTGTAGTTTCAGACACCTCTTCAAGATACGATCACTAGTGAAGTGACTTGGGCACATCTGTCAAAAACTCAGGAGGCATCACCTTGACTACAAACACAGGGAGTAGACAGAAAAAGGCAAAATGCTTTGTCTAAGATTCCACGGCTGAGTCGCGGACCCGAGCCGACATGGCACGATGTATCACACTGATGAACATCTGCCTTCCCAAACACATATATTAAATCTTCCAGTAATGAAGGAACAGAAAAAGAAAAAGGAACTGGTTTTACAGGTCAGCATTATTTAGATCTCTGGAAAACCACAGGAATTGTTCTCATTTTAGAATGGAGTTTTCTCTGACCCTTTTGAAGATAAGTGCTGGATCAGGTTACACCAAACGTCCACCTCACTGGTATCTTTGATTTAATTGTGAATGCCTAATGAGCAGCATGAACATGATGCAATTATATAAGAATGCTCTCCAGAATACTTCTGCAGCTTTCTACAGCAAGGATTTTATAATGTTTTGGCAGCTCTAGCTTTACCTGAGACATGACAACGAAAAAAATAACTACCTCCTAGACATCTCCTGCATAACCAGCCAGGGAAGCAAACAGCTGTAGCTCCAAGGTCATGTAGACAATGCTCTTGAATCTCAGTAAACAGCGTGAAAACATGAAAAGCATGTCAAGGACACAGCTTTTGTATGCTGAATGTAAAATCCTGGAAATTAAAAAAAAATACTGTCTAAGATTGTTCTACACATTCAAAGTAACAGCTGTGCTCCTTGGCAAATAAAGTGTGCCAACCTCGATTTCCAGTTTTCATCTACTGACTTCCAAAAGACAAATTCATTTCTCCATGTTTCTCTTCATCATATATGTTACCTGTTTCTCCTCATCATATATGTTATCCAGGTTCAGTTTCTTATGCCCAGACAGGAATTCTTTAAAATATTCTTTTAAAATTTTTTAATTTAAAAGAAATTAAGAAGTATTGCAAATGCAACTGCCTGCCATCAGAGCTTAGTAATAAAATCAATTTTTTAGAGCAACAATCAGGTTTTTGTCTTTCACAGCCAATGTTTTTCACCATCTCTCAGCTGCTCTCAGCACTCCCACTATTTCCCACTTTTCACACAGGCCAACTGGACTATAAAAGGCAGGAAAGCACTGCTCCCTAGGGATACCTGATAGCATGTAGCCTTTCACAGCACTTCTCTTCCTTCAGTGTTTTTTTACCCTTGGTGGGAAAAACCTCCTGCATGAACTTAAGAGATGGCTTCAGTACTCAAGCAGTATTGACTGGAGACACACATTAAAAAAGCCAAAATTTAATACAAATCAAATGGAAGAGAGTCTTTGGGCTGTGACAGTTTATTTTACCACCACCCAAGGCTGGCATGCAGCTAATTTTCCTTCTGAGGCACTAGTGGTTGTAACTGAGCTACTTATGAAGTTAACTTTATTTAAGAGCTGATTGTACATATTTCCTAGCTGTCCAGAACCTGGCTTCAGCAACAAAATTTTTCCCTGTTTTCCTAGAAACAACTCTCTTTACATCTCTAGGCTGGATTAAATCATGATGTGCAGTTTTATTCTAGGTCTGCACCTGTCAGTGAAAGAGATGAATGAGCAAAAATGGGTCTCATTCACTTTTCTCCAAAGACCCTGAGCTCGTGCTCCTCCATGTCAGGGATGACACACTGCTGGTATCTGTTGGATGCCAGAAGCTGCATTCACACAGACTTGGGGAGTGGGAGCACCCAGCTATCCACTGCTCTGGATCTTGATTCCAAACCATTCCCTGCCATATGCATTGCCACCTCAGCTGCTAGAAAGGCTCTGCTCTATTTAAAAGCAATGGGAGAAAGGGAAAATCTCATGGTATAGAAGACAGATTCTATAGTTGATGTCAATTCTACAGGAAAGAAAGCAGATCCTTCCACACTGCTGACCTTTTCAAAGGCGCCTCTTTCCAGCGTGAGCACAGAGGAGCACACAATTATGTATGCTGAGTTTTGGGGTCATATGCATAACAGGCAGATCTGGTTTAAACTTCTAGATAAGGCACCCTGGAAGAAGATCCAGAGATTCATGCACGACATTTCCTACTGCACAGCACTTTTCCACCATTCTTCACTTTACAGGAGATCTGGCACACTTTTAGTCAAAGTCACTTTTCTAGAAGAAATTAAAGCGAAATTCTTGGGGAGTTGTGGAATTGAATAAGCCTGTGTTAAGTGTCCTGTGTGACTCTGAAGGGGATTCTGCTGAACCTTGGCTTTTCCTGCAAGCTCCCAAGCACTTGCGGATGAACTGACCATTCTTCTTGTGGATGCTTCCCTTCAACTCCACGATCCTGGCAGATTTTGCAGCTTAAAGAAGGGAGAAAAAAATAAGAGATGTTCAGTCATCTCATATAGTGAGGCCTCAGTCTGCAAAGCATAGGGCAGGATTGAACCCCTTTCTTCTCCTCCTCACCATGCAAAGTTCTCCTACCTGTTTCCATAAGCTTCAGCTCTCTGCACAGCTCCTCCTGCATCTTTTTCCTGTAGTCTCCAAACATGGCTCTCATGAGCTGACGCTTCTTCACCAGTGGAGCCTTCTCACTGCGCAGTGTCCTGATTGCCCTGAGAGCCTCCTCAGCTGCAGCAAAGGAGAAACAGCACACAGGTTAAGGCTCCCTGCAGCTCTGTCCCTGCATTCCTGCCACTGCTGGCCCCAGGAGAGAGCTCTTCTTTACTTCAATGCTCACCCTGCTTTGGAGTGGGTTTCTGTGTCTTCAAGCCGAGTTCCAGCTGGTTCACACACCAGTCCACCTCTTTCCACAGCTGCTCATCTGACTGCTATCAACATGAGGCACAGTGAGCAAGAGGAAGTAAATCACCCAAAAATTACAGCAGCAGTTGCTACACAGTATGAAAGGGAACTCCACAAAGTCAGAACTATTCCAAATATTATGTTCTGGTGACCACTTAATAGACTTCATGACATCTTCTCTCTAATGTTTTGCATCAGATAAACTAAAAGCACTGTGCAAATGTTTAGTTGCAACTCACTGTCTCTATTAGATGGATTTAATGTGGCTGCCATTCAGAAGGTGCTGTTTTCTGGAAACCTGTACAGCTTTCAAAGAAACTTACAGATGGGAGAAATAAACATTAACAACAAAAAACCCCTATCCTCAAACCTGCACAAAATCCAAAAAAGCAAACAATGGACCAAATCAGAAGCTGAGTCTTTCTTCTCAGCTCCTCTGTGCTTGCTCAACCAGAAATGCATGAGGGACGAGGAAGATGAAGCCCATGGAGATGAAGGAAGCCAAGTGCCATTGAGCAAAGCCAGCTGGCTAACTCAGCAGTGGGACAGGGAAACAGGGCTCCACCCTGGGACTGCAGCAATTCTTAACTGTTATGTACATGTAAATACAAATGCCCTCACATTGTCTCCTTTTACCTACAACAGTGTCCTTCTAAAGGACTGGAAGGGCTTTACCTGACCTTCAACTTTTTCTTTCTCTGGTGCTCAGCACTGTTTATTGGTAGGACTGCAGGTGAAGCAGACCTCTGGATGAAATGTTCCAGAGGCAGGTGAACACTCAGTGCAATTTCCTTGTAAAATATTAAGAAAAGGAAGGTTTTGTGCAATCTTGTGTTACAGTATGAATCAGCTGGCACTGTTTGTTAGTAAAACCTACACCAGCGCTGGAAAGTAAAATAAAATGAAGACCTAGACCTCAGCAGAACAGAAAACCTCAGGGTGTGCCTTAATGTTGTGTTTACACATAACTTGCAACTTCAGCTGATTTCTGGCCATGCCCTACAGAGGAACCTTCTCGGAAGCACCCCTAAGTTCTACCACAGGTCCTTGGCTACACCAGGGTGCAGTTCTGTGCCTTGGCTTTGCTCCTTGTACTACAAAAGTAATTCATCCTGCAACACACACATCAGAGCTACAGGGCCTGGCTCAGCACCCACAGGCACCAGTTTGGCACCAACTAAACAGTTACCTCCATTTCCTATTTTTATTTTCTTGAAAAAACAGCATCCAGCTTCCCAGGATTAGCTGTCACAAGCCTAAACATGAAATCTTTCAACACAAATCTGAAGGACCATTAACTTCCTTTGCTCTGGTCAGGTTCCTCAGCTGTGTAGCAGAGAAAGCAAACAGCTGCTGGAACATGTAAGCAGCACATGTGGGCTTTCAGTTTCCATCTCAGGGCAGTATGCTAGTTGTTCGTCTGTGCAAAGAGGTGAAGTGTCTCTTTAGCTCAAGGGTTTATAAATAATGGGATCCCATCAGCATTTAATTACCTGAGAGGTCTTCTCATCCTGATGGGAAGTATCTGTATTTTGAGAGCTGTTAGCTTCTGCCTTTGTCATCCTGCTGGTCTCAGTTTCTTCTGTTTTGTTTTTACTGACAGGTGTTTTTTGTTTCTTCTTTTTCTTCTTCTGGGCAGCTCCACCTCCTGTTGATTTTTCTCTCATTGCCTCATCTGAAGGGGCTGTCTCTGTTTGGGGGATCTTTGATGTGACATGGCTTCTATCCTCTTTGGGTGCATTCCCTGTCACCTCAGTCTTCTGCAAGGCTGCAGCCTCTGGCAGAGCTGCTGATTCAGCAGGCAGTGAAGCATCTGCTGTGTGCTCTGTATGTTGGCTCGCTGGAAGTAACTGAAGATGAGGACAGTCTTCATCTGGGATGGCAAAGTTGAAAGCAAACTTGGGTTCTTGTCCAGAGGCAGCAAAACTCAAGGCGCCATTCCAGTTCTCCTGCTTAGTGGCTCTGACATTGTTTTGTACCTGCTCAGCACCACTGTCACCAGGATCAGCTTCTGGGTCAGTCTTGGAAAGCGTAAAATCAAATCGGAAACTGCTGCCAGACGATGTGAACAACTCTGGCTTTACCTCAGGGGGTGGGTCAGATTGTTTCACACCATCTGCAGCCTGCCCCTTGCTTGGCTGTACTTCCACAACATCAGGGGTCATGCCTAGAAAAGGCAAAGAATATTTGTTTGAGAACACCAATACTGGTGTTCTCAGTGCACCAGTTTCCTACCATGGGGGTGTCACTGCAGCTCCCACTCTAAGGCACTGCCCAGAGAGGTGACTCAATTAATGCTGAAACCTAAGAAATCTATAGAAAAGAACAAATCTTACCATCCCCTGAGGGACAGCTCAAGCTCACCTTTCTCCATGCTCTTCTGACCCTCATCCATTTTGAGATGACAATCCCCAAACTCATTGCTCATCACTTGCTGTTTCTCTGCAAGAGGAGTCTCAGGGGAGTGCAGGACCTTGAAAATGTGTTGGGTCTCTTCTGCTCCACTCAGAAAACATCAGGAGAGACAAGAAGCAGTTTACAGTGGGCCTTAAAATCCACACTATGGGACGCTGATGACTGACTCTTCTCTTAATGTACTCTGTGTTCATACCACCATAACTACCATTCAATTGAAAAGAAACTCCAAGTGCTTCCAGAAGCTCAAATACTGTGAGATGTTCCTACAGAGGAGAAAAAAAATCATAACTGCTTATTATTTACAGTTGGACTCTTATGCTGCAGTAAGTGCACTGGTAATGGCACAGAAGCTACAGAGAGCTTAGCAATCTTTCCCTCAAGGTGAAGACAAATCCCAGAACGTAACTCAGTGTCTCTTCTCTGGAATACTTGAAAAAATCTAAATAGAGGGTATACCCTCAAAAGCAGGACTCTTGCTCTTGCCTACAAACCAGCCTGAACACAACAAGAATCCAAAACTTTTGTGTTAGAACAAATTCTCTAAAAAACAAAGTTGTTCTGTGACAATGGTCCCCAAGACCTCAATTTGGAAACCCTAAATATAGTCTTGTAGTGTTTGTTCCACTTATTTTAAACCACAGAACAACTTGAGAGTGGTACTGTGGAATGGGAACATCCCACCTCTCCCAGCTGCAGGGCACGACCATCCTCTCGGAAAAGAGCCTTTCCCTAACATCCAGCCTAATAATCACCCCCCAACACAGCTCCAGCTGTTCCCTGTGTTCTGTCCCTGGTCACAGAAAGCAGAGATGGGAGCTGTCCCTCTGCTGCCCCTCAGGAGGAGCTGCAGCCCCAGTGAGCTCTGTGCTCCATCTCTTCTCCTCCAGCTGAACAAACCAAGTGCCCTGAGCTGCTCCTCCTACAGCTTCCCCTTGAGACCCTTCCCCATCCTTGTATCCCTTCCCTTGGACACTCTCTAACAGCTATAGACCCTTCTGATATTGTGGTGCCCCAAAGTGCCCGCAGCACTGGAGCTGAGGCTGCCCCAGGGCAGGGCACAGTGGGACAATCCCTCCCCTGTCTCAGCCAGCAATGCTGGGCCTGATGCACCCCCAGCCGTGGTGGGACAGAAGTGAGATGTACCTTCACAGCATCTGGGTGTCAGGGTCCTGGCCACATGAACTCTTATTTCAAGGGGTTTGGCTAGCTGCAATCCAGGCCAGTTACACAACAAGAGGTAGAGAAAGCCCCCCCTCCCTCACCTGGGAGTTACTGTAAACTGAGTGCCTTATGCATACCGTGCAACAGCCAAACAACTCATTGATCCAGACCCTGAATTCCTGGCTAGATGCTGGATCTGCCTCCTCACCAGACTTCTCCAGCAAGTGGGACTCCAGGCAGAGCCTGGGTACTATCAGCAGCACTGCTCAGCTCTCCTGGGTCACATACTGTGCAAAAGGGTCCTTTTCTGGCCAGAGCACTGCTTCTGCTGCCTCTTTCCTGTGCTCAGCTCCTGCTTCCCCTCCAGCAGCTGCCTTCTCTCCTGCTGGGCACTGGGGTGCAGCACAGGACACATTTGTAACAAAATGGTCTGATCATAGAATAGCTTGGACAGAAACTTTAAAGCTGATCCCCTCCTGCCATGGGCAGAGACACCTTCCACTATCCCAGATTGCTCCAAACCTCGTACAGCCTAGCCTTGGACACTTCCAGGGACAGCCACAGCTTCTCTGGGTAAGCTGTGCTAGGGCTTCACCACTCTCATAGGGAAGAATTTCTTCCTAGTATCTGATCTAAGCATTATCTTTGGCAGTGGGAACCCATTCCTCCTTGTCCTGTCTCTCCCTCCCTTGTCCCAAGTCCCTCTCCAGCTCTCCTGGAGCCTCTTCAGGCACTGAAAAGGGCTCTGAGGTCTCCCCAGAGCCTTCTCCAGGACGAACAATCATAACCCTCTCCCACAAGCCTTAATTCTTCTTGGAGCCTGATGCTCAAGCACAAGGTGCAGGCACCTATCAGTCACTGCTCCATCCTCAGGTGGACCAGCAAACACTCACCTGAGCATCTTACATGGGGTTCACAATCCTCTTCCAATGTTAGGTACTGACCAGCAGCAGGACATGTGTCTGCAGCTCTACAAAGTGGACTAAGGAGATCAAACTATGACCTTACAGAATTTTATCTTTCATGTAATTTTGCCCTGGATCAAGCTTCTCAAAAATAAACCTACTGGTGTTTGAGGGCCAGACATGCTGGCACAGTATTTCCTTAAGACGAAAAACAAAGGCAGAGCTGTAGCAGAACCAAACAAGTCATTATATGGGAAAAAAAGAACATGACAAAGAATACAGAAACCAGGGAGAACAAACACTAAATGAATGAAAGATAAAACTGCTTCCAGAAACAGTCCTTTAAGCCCAATGCTGTCCTGTGTTTAGAACAAATCCCAAATAACACAAGAACAGGGAACATAAAGGAGAGAATAGAAAAATACCCACATCTGCTAAATCACACCCAAGGCCAGAATATTGGGGAGTGTGGGCTGGGAAAGAGGAACATACCTAGTTTGGGGTGTGGAGTGAGATGGAGATCTGCCTCCAGTTGTGAAATGCACCACTCCAGCTCCTCCTGGAACACACCTTGGGGAGCCTTGGACATCGTGTGGGGAAGGCAGAATGATTAGAACCACAAATCTCTCACCTTCAAAACTGAGTTTTCTGAGGCCTCCTCCCCTCTCACAGAAGATCAGACCTGTCTTTACATTGGAGGTGTGCTGTGTAACAGTTCATTTACACCATAAATCAACACAGCACAGGGACACGTCGTCCTGTGTGGAGGGCACCAACATGAGCCCTCTGCATTGCAACTCTTACTAGCAGGAAAATTACAGCTCTTACTAGCAGGAAACCCCGCCACTCCTGGCAAGTCAGGACTTCCCACAAATTTCTTTTTTCATCTTCTTCTCCACCTGTCCCTTTTTAAAAGGCCCAAATGGGAAGACTTCTCATTTTCCTGAATTTTAGGCAATAGCAAAATGTCTCTACAGCAGGAAATTTCCCTTTAGCACAGCTCTGGTAACAACAGAAGTTATCTTTAGCCTAAACACAAGCCCCATGTGCTGCCTCTTGATAAGCGGTGGGCGTTAAGGTTTGCAGCCCGCCTGGGGACAAGGCACACTAAAACACTGGGAACGAAGAATGTTCAGGATAAGGAGATGAGCAGGGAAAGCCTTTAAGGAGCACCTGCGGGCGCTGTCCCCGGGCCCAGTGCGGTGGGAGCCTTACCTGCTCCGCGCCGCGCTCCCCGCGCCGCCGCCGGAAGACGCGGCCCCCGCGCACCGCCCACCTCCGGTCACGGGCCGCGTGTGGGCCCCGGGAGCAGCCCCGCCCGGGCCGGCACCGCTCTGGGCCTCTTGGAGCCCCCGGACCCTCCGCGGGGCCTCCCCCGCCGGCCGCGGGCTCAGGGCGGTGGGGGCCGGGCCGGTGTAAGCCGCCCGCAGCGCTCCCGCCGGGCCGCAGTGCCCAGCGCCCGGCTGGGCCGTGCGTTTGTGACCCCCGCGCCTCCCTCCGCTCCCCTGAGCCCCGCACTGTGCTGGGCACACGTGTGCCCACGGAGCCGTGCCACCTTCCCTGGGCCAAATCCCCGCAGGAGCGCCCACACCAGCCCTGGCCCCTCACATGCCAGCCTGACAGAGACCATGCCAGAAAGCACCAGCGCAGGCAAAAAAGGTTAATACACACCTACTGGTACTGTCTAATCCCATTTCTATTTTAGATTTCCTTTTGATTATTTAATTTTGTAAATAAAAAGTTAGACACCCTGTTTCATAGGCATTTTTCCCTATTGGATTGTTTCCAACAACAGCCGGAAGATCCCTGTGAGGTCAGTACTGCAGCAGCACAGCGTGTCACTGCACAGGATCTGGCGTTTCACACCATGGAGGTTGTAATTTCTCTTGACATTGGCAGTTGATGTTAGAAATCTTCCAAGGCTGACAGAATGGGCTCTAAAGTGCTGGGGAAGCACTTCCAAATGTTGCTGCTAGAGATTATAAAATGGTACTGGAAAAATCAGTACACTTCTGTCTGCCTTAAAATCTCCACCCTCGCTGAGACTTAGCCATTGTCTGAGCCCTCTCCTCATTACAAAAACCATCTCAGTGGTTTGAGGCTTATCCAAGATTGTTTTGCGACTTTATCTTGAGGCTTGTTCTGAGTGGTTGAGTAGGGTCGAAATCAGCCTCAGCCCTCGTATACAAGTGTCCCAGCGTCAGGAAAAAATGCGACAGTCAAGTATTGGAGAAGATAATGAGCTATCATATCTATCTTGAAAGGCCAGAATCCCACCGCAGTTTTCCTCTCCCTTGGTGCCTGAGCTGGACTAAGGGCTTGTGAGCCTGTCACCACCAATCTGGATGCATCCCCTACAGCAAAGCTTCCCATCCATAGCCTCAGGAATGCACAAACCCATCAGGCGATGCAAAGACTCTTCTTGGTATGGCTGGCACAGAGCCTGCAGAACCCATCCACACAGTGCAAGGAGTGAAAGGAACATTGTTTTATGTGGTAGGATGCTGTCCATATCTCCAGCTCTGTGGACTCAATGCCCATGCAGGGAAAAGGCACAAAGGACCAGCAATGCCTTGGTTTTCCTGGGTTTGATCTCTGCCCTGAGGATTCAGGCCCACAAGGGCACCGAGTAAGCAAGCTGTGGCAGCCTTGCTCTGAGGACATGATAGAAGGGCTGTCAGGAGATCCAAATATGATCCTCAGCTTCTGCTTACACAACAGAAACCTTGTTATGGGAAGAGCTGCAAGCTGAGCTGGTGGAAGCTGATGTCTAACAAGTCATGGCTGCCTGGGAGTGAAGCAAACAGCTGGCAGAAGAATTGGAATGGCTTGAGCCTGCCTCAGGTACAGAGTAGGTTAGTGTGTGCTGTATAAACTGTGCAAAGGCTGGGAGAACTCCTCACTGCTGTCAGATGGTGACAGAAGCACCTGTTGGGGGGCAGGTCAGCTGTGCAGTCCTGTAGGTCACTCCAGGACTGGCATTCCTTGCCAGCACAGAGCTGCCTTCTTTCCCCATATCACCAACTGAGCACCAACAAATTCGTGGCAGGCATGGCTGTAACTGGAAGCTGGAAAATGCAGCTCTTTGGTATGATGCTCCATCGAGGGAGTTCCAGGAAGGAATTGGAGAAAAAAACCAAAAGAGAGAAGTGGGGTGGTTGCCAGAGCTGCTAACCACAGTGTCAGTGAGCCTTGGAGGGCACTGGGACAGCCCAGTGTCACATGCCTGACACATCCTGTCGCCAGACTTCCTCACCGGCAATGTACGTGGCTTGCACATACAGGCTGTCATTCAGCAGTAGAAAATCTGTGTTGGACAAGAGAGAAAGAAAGCAGCTGTCAGAATGGAGCTGCTGGAGTTAGCTGGGGGGAGCTGAGGTCATTGGGGAAGGGCTTCTCCCCACCCCAGGACGGCACTGCAGTGCAATCCTGGAAATGGCAGCTCTGCTTTCTGCTCAGCTGAAATGTAGGGGGCACTACAAAGGGTTTCCCAAACACCACCAGCATCCAAGGAAAAAAACACTGGAGCAAAAGCCCAGAGCATATCTCAGGTGGAGCAAGTCTTCCTGCAGCTTCCACGAAAGCAGGGGATGAGCATATGCTTACAAAGCAGCCCCTGCTTTGCTCCAGCACTTGTGAGCTCTGACACCATCATCTCCAGTACGTGCTGTGCCCACACCAGTACATGCTGTGCCCACACCAGTACCTGCATCAGAGTCATAATTCAGTGTCCCCTTTTTATGTTCAATCCCCAGGAGCTGAGCGGGATGCAGAGACGCCGCCTCCAACGCGGTCTCTACCGAGCACCCTTGGACAGAGAATTGGGGAGATGTTAGGGCAGCCAGAGCCCCACTGCCAGAGCAGCCCAAATCCCCCTGGACAAGGCAACACCCAACCAGGCTGTTGATGGACCCAAGCTGGAACACCCTCAGCACAGCCAGCTGGAGCTGGGGAGGGAAATATTCCTACAGGAGAGAGCAGGCGTAGGAAAACTGAATACCTGAGGTATGGAGAAGAGAAAAACATTCAGTTTTGTGAGGAAGAAGCAGGAGAGTTCATCTCTTATTAGTTCTACGGGTTAAAATTAAACTTCCTCCTAAAAGGGGCTCATCTGAAGGCACTGATCCCAGCCCTCACCATGTCTCAGGTGAGAGGGAACGTTTCTGGTGGAATGGACACATCTGGCAAAAGCAAGACCTCCTCCTGTGTCAACATAGGGAGCAGCAGCTTGTGGACAAGGCTCTCTTACCTGTGGCTTCTTGGAAGTGTCGAACACAAGTGTCCATGGTTGCCACGCTGCCACTCAGGGTCTTTGTGCCTGGGAGAGAAATAGGATGGCACTGAGCAGCACCCATAGCTCACAGCAAGAAGGAGAGCACTAGGGAAGCATAATGGGACCAGAAGTGCAGAAGTCCTGTGTGGCAGGAGGAGCAAGCTGAAGGGCCTGCAGCCAATTCCTGCTGGAGCACAGGAAGAGGTACGTGGGTGTTATTCCCAGCTCTACTATCAGACCAACTGGACTGGGTGAAACCAGCTCACAACACAGGCATCTGCTGCCAGAGGAAGGGAATGAAGAAAGGAATGCTTCTTTACGGAAATATCTTCCCAGTCTTCATCTGCTTGGGAATTTGAAACGTAGGGAATTTAGCTAGCAGGAGGTGCTAGTGTTAAAATGAAGAAAAGGGACAATAAATATATTTAAGATTTCTCTGTCCTTACTGACGCCCTGAACCTCTAGCACCCTTAACACTGGGCCATGAAGCTTTCAACGATGTTGCAGACAGCTATAACTGGACAGATTCTTCCACGAGGGTGGCACATTTCTCTTCTTTACCAGGAGTTTCATTATCCCCAAGGCCAAGTCACTGCAGATCCACCAGGCATCAAAACCCAAGAGGATGGCACAAACGCTGCGACACACCAACAGGGACAGCAAGGTGTGCTCAGCTCCTCAGGAACGTTGCCAGCGGCAGCACTGTCCCGAGCTCTTCAGCAAGAGGGACAGCACTTACCTGCGATGTAGGTGTTCAGCCCATCGATCTCCACCACCTGCTGACCCAGTGTGTGCCGACCCGGTGCCAGCCCCATGCCAGCGATTGCATCTGTCACCAGCACCAGCCCTGCGGAACACAAGGAAAGGGGCTTGTCAACACTGCTGCTGATTTTGCTGCAGCTCCAAGCACTGTGCCCTGTTGACCCTCCCAGAGGAACCACGCGTCTCCAGCCACATTGCACCAAAGCAAGAGGACTGAGGGATCACATGTGGCTGTGACCTTCCAGACAGCAAGGGCAGCACAAATTCTTCTGGGAGATGGTACAGCTCGGAGTGGCTGGTAACACTGTGGGGACTGCCATGGCTCACCTTTGGGGTGGGCTCGGTGGGCAATGCGCAGGGCAGCGGGGTTGGTGTGGATGCCATCAGAAATCATGCCATAGAAGACCCTCCGCCCAGCCGGAATCTTGTCACTTGTCAGCAGCCCCACAATGCCAGGGTCACGGTGGTGGAACTGCTCGAGGGGAGAGAGGGGACAAGCTGTGGAGGACCAGGACACACTGGCTGAGACTTCACTTCAGGGGATGCAGCTGCCAACTCTATCACACAATGCCTGGCAGCTTTACCAGGCAAACCTGGGCATTGCCTTGAATCACAGAATCACAGGATGGTTTGAGTTGGAAGGGACCATAAAGCTTATCTTGTTCCAACCCCTGCTATGGGCAGCGTCACTTTCCACTATTCTGGGGTGCTCCAAGCCCCATCCAACCTGACCTTAAATGCTTCCAGGGATGGGACAGCTGCAGCTCCTCTGGGCAACCCGTGGTAGGGTCTCAGTACCCTCACAGGGAAGAATTTCTTCCCAGTATTCCATCCAAGTCTGCCCTGTGGCAGAGAGGAAACATTCTTCCTTGTCCTGCACTTCAGACCTTTGTCCAAAGTCTCTTTCCAGCTCTCCTGCAGCCCCCCTTTAGGCCCTGGCAGGGGCTCTGAGGTCTCTGGAGCCATCTATTTTCCAGGTGAACACCCCCAGCTCTCCCAGCTGGCTCCAGAGCAGAAGGGCTCCAGCTCTTGGAGCATCTCTGTGGCCTCCTCTACGCTCTCTCCAGCAGCTCCACATGCTTCTGATGTTGGTCCCAGGGCTGAAGGCAGCTCTGCAGGTGGAGTCTCACCTGAGTGGGGCAGAATCCCCCCCTTCCCTGCTGCTCACACACAGGAGGGCGTCTGGGTGCACAGAGCAAGGGCATGTCCACCTCTCACCCACCAACACTTCCTAGTCCTTCTCAGTGATGAACCTCAAGAGTCTGCTACAGCCTTGACTCTCTTTCAGATCCAGCAGTAGGAATGTGAAGCCAGAGGTTCAATGCCAAAACCTCATTGCAAAGCATGTACAAAACCAGCTGGGGAGAACACAGACCCATGGGGAGCAGGAGAAAAAGCCCAAAAGCAGCCCTGGAGCAGGGCAGGTGCCTCTGGGGACTCACCGGCAGCATGGCATTGAAGAGGTGAGTGATGAAGGTTGCTCCATGCTGCACAGCCTCCTCGGCCTGGGACAGATTAGCCACTGAGTGACCTGGGAACACAGACCAACACCTGATTCCTCTGCCCATCTTTCCACTGATTTCCCTACAGGACCAAAGACACTGCATCACTGCACTATGCTCTAATGGCCACTCCGGCCTGAGATCTCAGGTGCAGCCTCGACACAGATGTGTCTGGCCATGACCTGGGGGGACTCTGGGGGTGGGTGCTTCACCTGAACTCCTTCAGTATTCACATCACAGCTGTCACAAGGCTCCATCTGTCACAGAGGGCTCACAGCTCCAGCTGTCACAGAGGGCTCCATCATGCTGCCTTGCTCACAGCATGTTGTCTTCAGGCTGAGTTTGAGGTCCAATGATATGCCTTTCTGCTGGCCTCACATACTTAAATGTTTTGTAGAGAATTATCAGAGGACACCCTCACAACAGTGGGAACTCTTCCAGGAAAACATATGGGAATCAAACTATCCAGAAAGAAATTTCTGTTTCCCCAACAGGACAGCAGCTCTGTAGGCTAACCTTGCCTTTCTGGAGTTGTTTATGTGGCTTTAGGATAAGAGATAGTCTGCTGTATGAATGCCCTTCTCACTTGAGGTTTAATTTCACCCTGAATAACTCCCTCCTTAAAAAAAACCCACCAAACTTCTTCAATGATCTGAGACAAAAAAGAGTTTGTGAAGCAAAGGAAAAGAAAAACGCAGCCAGTTTTAAGTCAGAAGTCAGATGTTGGAGGGAGAGGTTCCTACAGTACCTCTGGTTGAAAAACAGAGTTATCAAACTAAAAGTAACCTTTGGAAAATGATTTCACCTGTCACATAAGGCCTAAAGCAGTGGAACTTCAGAGTTTGAACCCTTCCACATCATCAAACCTCCAACTAAGACTGCTGTTCTTCCCTGTGTTAGAACAGCACCTTGTGTTTACTGCAGGGGCTCCTAAGTCGATACAAACTTTGGCCCCTGCCATGACAGAGTGACAGCATCAAGCAACGCCCCCATTTGTGACAGGTCTGTCATCTTCATCCAGAATCCCACCCGGTCCAGTTGCATTCATGAGACACTATTAGACATGCCCCAGCCCTGAGTGCCCCAGCCCTCACCCAGGGAGACGCAGATGCCCCGCTTGGTGAGCTCCCGGATCACCTCACTGCTCCTCCTCATTTCAGGGGCCAGGGTCACTATCTGGACACAGTCCAGGGAGCCATAGGTAGCAAGCAGGTCCTGGAAAGCACCTGCCTCAAAGGTGCGGAGGCAGTGCTCCGGGTGGGCACCCTTCTTCTCTTTGCTGATGAACGGCCCTTCCAGGTGGGCTCCTGTCCAAACAGGAACAAAGAACCATGACTCTTCCTCCCCCTGCCAAGGACCAAGAAACCTGCTGCTCCTGTCATACTCTTGCCATTTTTCTGCAGCAAAACATGTCCCAGGCAACTGTCAGCTCAGCACAGTGAAGATGCAGTTCTGGCCACTGGCCAGTCCAAGCCCACCCCACTGCCATTGCTCCAGGGGCTCCAAAGGGGCTCAAGCAGTGTGTGTACAGAGACAGAAAACAAGGTAAAAGCCAGGCACAGACTAAGGGAAAAGGTGCCCACATGTGCATCCCTCCCACTGAGAGTTCCAGCCCCTATTTGTGCTCTGTAACTTCTTTCACCTCAACTGTGAACAAGATAATTGCCAACCTAGGTTAGCACCACAGAGGGACAAATCCACTTACCCAGAATTCCTGCTCCATGGGCTCCACCATTTCTTACACTGATCTGAGGGAGAATCTAGAGAAAGGGGTTTGTCAGACATGGCAACACAGACACAGCCCCCCAAGCCTGCCAAGTCAGACCCAAATGTCAGGTCTGCAGGGAGATTTGTAGCTGGACCACTTGGGACCATCACAGCCCACAAAGGAAAAGCTGTCTCCAAGCCTTGGTGTGCAGACCTCACTTGGGAGACATGGCTGTCTCAGCATTCTAAAGGCTGAGGGCAAGAAACCCAGGGTAGAGTCCAGCTCCTCATACCCATGGCTTTTCTGCCCTGGCAGCTATCCCAGTCTTGGCCCACCCACCTCCTGATACCAACCTCAGTCCCTGATCATCCTGCGCATGGGAGAGGAGAAGGCCCCTTACCTGGTGGTACACAGATGGAGGAGAGGTCACCAGGGTAGGACAGAAAGAGGTCACTCCATGGGAGAGGATCTTCTGACTGACCAGGTCAATACCTGATTTGAAGTCATCCGTAGCCAGAGAGAAGTCCACCCCGAAGCCTCCTACACCACAAACAAAATGGGGTGAACCTGCTGCTTCCCCAGTGGGTGTGCTCCACCCAGAAACACTGAAGAAAGACTTAATGTGACTGGAGGGAGATGTTCCATTTGTAGGGCACTGACACAGAGGGCTCCATCAGCACTTCTGTCCTACATTCCAAGGTTCCACAAGTACAAATCTCACCATCACCGCCCTCATGAAGTGCTCTTCCCTGCAGCACCCCGGTGTTTTGCAAGCACAACCTTTTTATTTTGATGCAGGGTAAAATGTGACAATTCCCAGCTGAAAAGGGAACTGACTTCCAACTTTACCTACCATAGAATAAGCCCCTCTTTCCTTCTGAAGAGAGCTGTTGCAGTTATTTGTTATTGTTCCTATGGGAAGTCTTGCCCTCTCCACCCACATCCTGGAAAGGGTAGGGCAGGCATCTTGCCAGTGCAGGGGCAGGATAAAATATAGATAAAAATGAGTTCAGAGGAAACCCTCACCTGGCCAAAGGAGATCACTTACACAATATCAACAACCACAGGCAAAATTGCTCTTTGTCATTGGATGGGTGACTCACACCTCCCTTGAGCAGCTGAAATGTGGCCATGGACAGGACACCCAACTGTGGGGCTGGGGGTCAAGGACTGACAAACCCGGGATGTCCCCAGTCCATGAGTGCATGTAGCTTCACTGTACCATTGATCTGGACATCAATGAATCCTGGGGCAATGATGCTGTCCTTGCAGTCCAGCTGGACATCAGCGGAGCCCTTTTCGTCAAAGAAGAGTTTCTCTGGGTTGAGGATCTTCCCCTCTCGCACCCACAGGTCCTCCCTGGAGGGACAGTCACAACAGCAAGCTCTGGTGCCATCTGCAGCACACGGAGCAGGTGGCCATGCCCCAGTGACAGTGATCCTGAGCAAAGTGGATCCCACCGGCACCTCCAGCCACAGGCTCTGCAATGTCTGCCAGAGCACAGCTGCTCTTTAAGCTGAGGCACAGCGAGCAGCCCTCTCTACCTGGCTCCGGCTCTACAAAACTCACAGGAATGGGATTTTCATGGGCTGCTCCTCAAAGGTGATTGTAGTGATGATGGCCAAAGCACCAGGGGGTTGGCAGAAGAGGCAAAACAACAGGGACCGTACACCACACCCGCCCCATCTCCCTCCAGAATCTGGCAGAGGGGACATGGGATGGTAGAGCACGGCAGGGTGAGGGCAATAGCCGGTGCACAGGGGGAACTGGCGGCCGTCTTTCGGCACTGCAGGTGTCAGGCCAGGTCGGCAGCCTGTCCGGGAGCCCCGCAGCCCTGGCACCCAGACACACGATACCCCCAGACAGCCCTGGTGCCCGCAGGCACCGTGGTAGCGCCGGTTCCGCCGCCTCACCTCTGGAGCTGGTGGTCCCTCAGGATGCGGCAGTTGGTGAACTGGACGATGGGCGCGTCCGAGACGGATTTGTTGGACGGCATGGCGGGGCAGCGGGAGGCGGCGGAAAGCCCGAATGCCCCGGTGGCCGGCGCAAGGGGAAGGGACCGGGCGTGGCGAAGCAAGGCCAGGCCGTGGCTCCGGTGCGAGCGGCCGCTGCGGGACTGGACAGCCGGCGAGGGGCGGAGGCACCGGAGCACCGCCTCCGGGGCAGGCGGAGGGTGAGTTCCTTCCCCTGCCGGGTGCTCTGAGCCGACGCTGTGAGGAACGAGCCCCTCGAGGCCGGGCCCCGCCGCGGTGCCCGCTGAGCGCCGGGCCCGGGGCGCTGTCCCCGCCGCGGGGCGCCGCGCCCCTCAGCACCGCCCGCGCCTGGTCACGTGAGCGCGCTCGGCACGTGCCGGGACTCCCCGCCCGCCCCGCGGCACGTGACCCGCCCCGCGGCACGTGACCCGCCCCGGAGAGCCGCCATCACGGGAAGGGCGCTGCCATCTTGAGAAGGTCGACGGCGGAAACCCTCCTCGTGAGACCCCATCCTGAACCCCCACAACGAAATCCCATTGTGAGATTCCATCCTGAACCCCCATAATGAAATCCCATTGTGAGACCCCATCCTGAACCCCCACAACGAAATCCCATTGTGAGATTCCATCCTGAACCCCCATAATGAAATCCCATTGTGAGAGTCCATCCTGAACCCCCATAACGAAATCCCATTGTGAGAGTCCATCCTGAACCCCCACAACGAAATCCCATTGTGAGAGTCCATCCTGAACCCTCCCCTGAGACCCCATGATGAGACCCCATTGTGAAACCCCCCATCCTAAACCCCCCTCGTGAGATGCCATCCTGAACACCCATGATGAGATCCCATCATGAGACCCCCCTGTGAAGCCATGCTGACACCCCACCCATTGTGAGACTCCATCCTGGAATCCCCATCCCAGACTGCATTCTAAGACCTCATGCTGAGAATCCATCCAGAAACCCCCTCCTGAGATCCCCAGCCTGACACCTCCATCCCAAGACCCCCACTGTGACACCCTGGGCCCACTACCCCTGTGTACCCAAGGGAAGCTGACAAGGCATAGTTTCACCCAGCTGTTGGTGTGCTCTGGCACTGCTCATGAATCTCTCCTAGGAAAGAAAAGTGATGGAGAATGCAATTGTGTACGAATGTAATATCCCTGTCTGGCCTGGAATTGGATTTTTATTAAGTTTTGAGCCATGCACATCATTCCATTATGTCAGTGCTCGTAGCTTGTAGCTACAAGCTTGTAGCGTGGAGCTACAAGCTGCTCCTGTTGTCAGCAGGATGCTGGGAAAGGGAACTGAAAGGGAGAGATGAGAGTGATGCTGCTTGAGGCTGGGAAGACAAAGTGCAGCACTGTTTTGGGAATTTGAGGCTAAGAATGGTTTCAGGCCACAGAGATGCTCCAAAAGCATCTGTTCTGGGGCCAGGCTGAGAGAGCTGGGGGAGTTCACCTGGAGAAGGCAAGGCTCCATGGAGCCCCTTCCAGGGCCTAAAGGGGCTCCAGGAGAGCTGGGGAGGAACTGTAGACAGAGGCATGGAGGGGCAGGACAAGGGGAATGGCTTCCCACTGCCAGAAGGCAGAGCTAGATGGGATATTGGAAAGTAATTCTTCCCTGTGAGGGTGCTGAGGCCCTGGCACAGATTGCCCCTGGAAGTGTCCAAGGCCAGGTAGGATGGGGTTTGGAGCAACCTAGAATAGTGGAAAGTGTCCCTGCCCATGGCAGGGGGTGAAACTGGATGAGCTGTAAGGTTTTCCTCATGAAATTATGTACATCTGGGACACCCAGCACTGTATTGCTGGGAATGATTTTTAGCTTCATACAGGTGGAGCTGAGGAGACCCCAAAATTAGAAGTTGAGAAGATGAATTCTAAAAACAGCTCTCAGCCCTTCTAATCTGTGAAGAAGAAAGGACCCATCCAAGCTGCTAAATCAAATTTGGATGTCAGAAGACATGCATAGCACCCAAACTGCCTGTGGCCAAAACAGGTCCCTTCCCCAGGAACACACAACTGACAGAGCTGTGACAGTAACAAGCTGGCAGTGGAAAAGATGCCAAGGTAAAGGTGCCAAATACTGACTGCAGAGATAGGAACACCCACCATAAACATCCTGCCTTGAGCCCACCTGGAGCAGTGATATAGCTTCTTCCCTGAGAACCCTTCAGCCACACAGATCCTCAGGCTGCCAGTCCCAAGCCTGGATCAGAGTGCTGAGACTGTCTGCACTGCTGGGAGAACTGAACAGCCTGTGCCAAATGACAGCCCCTGGAGGCTACAGGTATATCATCCAGCCCAGCTTATGGCATGTTCTGCTACAGTCTTAATCCTTTGGATGTTCTCCTTTTATTTCTCAGCATTAAATTAGCCCTGTCTTGCATCACCAATACTGCACACCCCTCTAATGGTAATTCCATATTTCTCTCCACTGCCCCAGTAACAGGCGGAAGGAATCACAGGCTGTAGTTTTGCTCACATTTTCTTTAGCAAACGTGTGTTTTTTTTCCTTCAGGTTGAGTTATTTTTAATCTGGCTCAATTCCCAAATTAGTTCGCTGCCTGGCAGCAAGAGCAGCTGTACCTGCACACTTGGGAGGAGCTGGGGAGCACATGGAGCAGCTGCAGGAGTGGGGCTGGGCCAGCACTGCTGCTGCATGAGGGGCTGTTGAAATATAGCCTTGTCTTCTGATTTTCACAAACATTCACAAAGATGTGTAAGAAATTGTCCCAAGGCACACAGGAGCCACGGAGGCTGCTTAGAACAAACTGCCAATCTTGGGAATATACATGATTTCCCAAGGTTTGTCCTTAGCCTACCTCATGCAGACAGCCATTAGGAGAGGGTGGCTGAATTCACTCTCTGCCACTCAAGTCACCCTTTTCCCCTCTGCCAAAGGCAAAGGAAGAAAGCACAGATGTAACAGCACAGACAGGGCAGTTCAAAGTGCCAGAAAAGGCTCTGGAACTTACACAGACCCTGGTATCCCCTTGATGAATCCTGAAGATTCAAACCTGATCTCCTGTGGGGAGGGCAGCTTGTCCCTCAGCAAAAGGAAAATGGCAAAGACAAGCCACCAGTTCTCCAGGAACTGCATCCTGGCCAGCTTGTGCTCTCAGGTCTGAGAGAGCTGTCAAGGGTCTGTAGGTCCCTAAATACTATAAGGTCAGGGCAGGATTTTTCCATGTGTGCTTTTGTGTTGTGACACAAGAACAAGCTGGGCTGAAAACCACTGATACAAATTGCAAAGCTGTGGCTCTCAGGAGCTCACTGAAGGAAAAAATAACAGCAATTATTAGCCTTAACAGGAAGAAAAATGGAGAAGCATTTTGGTACAAAATCAGTTGACCGTGAAACAGAAAATTCCCACTCCAGGGCAAGTGGCATTGCAAAGATGTGCTCTGGGTTTAATTTAATAATGTAAAGAGAAAAAGATGGTTAATAGCTATAAAACTAAGGCCAGAGGTTGCAAGTCCTGTACATCAAAGACAAGTAACTCTCACCTGAGCACAGTGATGGTTTGGACACTACAGATGTCTGGAAACAGCAGAATGCCCTACAATCAGTATCCTGTGGCCAGCCTGGGAAGGAAACTACTGAGAGCTGCAGTTATTAGCTCTACAGTTACTCTGTAATTGAAAACAGCAACTTCGTTTCTGGGATAAGTTTCTCTTAACAAGGTCTTCCTTATTTCCCCAAAGCTTATTTACTTTTCCAGGTTACTGTGCTTCTCTGCAAGCCAGATCTCCCCAGGAAAGCAAATCTCTGAGCAATCACAGATAAAATGCTGGTACTGAAAAATGCTTCTTCAACAGCAATTTAAAAAAAATTGCAGCCTTTGGAAAAAAACTAAAACACAGTGTGAAAGGGTTAACAAAGAACAAGGTCAGCAGGCTCTGTGGAGGCACTGTCTGTGCTGGTAGCTCTGGCATTTGGTCCTGAACCTCCCTGAGCCTGCACCTGACTGCAGATGGCCCCGTCCCTGTGGTGCTGCTGCTGCAGAGGCCCCACTCCTCTCCTCTCCTCTCTGCAGGGCTGACTCACTGCAGCGCTCCCAGCCATGCACAGAACACAAAAGCACCATGGCTGTGCCAGCACAGCCACTCCCTTCCCCTCTTCCAAACTCACCACCGAGTCAATCCCTGCCAGATAGAACTGCCCTCTGAGCAGCCATGCTCCTGGCAGTAAAAAAATTTCAAAAATCCCAAGGGTCCCTTATATTGTTAATGCTGCGAGTCACTTGAGAAATGTGCTGATGCAATAGTACCAGCAAAGGATTTGAAATGGGAATTTTCAGCCGCGGGTCATCACAGAGGATTCAGAGCATCACATGACATGGCTGAGGCACTACAGACTGTTAATTTGACTCTGGATGTATTTGCAGGTACTTGGCACAAAGTGATCCTCCACCAATCCATGCTCACCCCAGCTCTATTCTTCTTGCATGGGTCTATATATTAATGACAAAGGCTTCATGTTCTAAGGCACGAAGCAAAATGCCATTGGAGATATTTTTCCTGCACCGGTTCTGCAAGTACCTATCAACTGTCTCTGCATGATGTCACCAACCTACAAGGGACCTTAGGGTCCCTTGGAACAGGGGGCCTTTCAATTGCTTATTGCCCTTGGAGATGAGAGCACTTAGCTGCTCTCCCAAGTCAAGACTGGCAGTAGGGCCCCATTACAGAAGGTAGAACTGAATGTTAAGCAAGTTTGCAGCCCTGGGTAGGACCCTCTCCTATCCTTCCACACAATTTGACTTGCTAAATTAAATTCCTCTCACCAGAACTGCAAGCTGGATGCAGCATCCTCTGCAGAGCCTGGGTTTGGGATTCACCCCCCAGCTACAAGCTGTCACACTGCACCAGGAAGATCCCCTCTGCAGTGTGAGACAATTAACCTACAGATTCCACAAACATTTATGACCCCTGGAGAAAGCCTAATTCAGATGTTTAGTCTGCTTTTGCTGATGAAAAGAATAACCGAAATCATTGAGATCAGAAATTTCTCCTTCTCCAGCCACTGCTTCAGTGGGCATGCAGGATTTTCCTTCAGTCAGCTTACACCTTTGTACAGCCCCATCTCACATTGCCATAAGGCAAAAGCACTGCCCAAGCAAAACCAGCCCAGCCCAGCCCAGAGCCAGCCCACTGAGAGGTGACTGCATAGAGATCAGTGCTCTAGCAAACAGCAAAAAAAAGCCCATTCCTTTGTTAACAATTACTGCTGAGCCTGACAGGACAACTGGCTCATAGCTACAGTCTCCTGAACGCCCAGAAGGTGCACACAGTGGCACCAGGCCTGGGCAATGCCCTTGCCAGGTTAGAAGCTCCAAACAACTTCAGTGAATTCCTTATGTTCTGGCCACAACTCTTCATGGTACTCACCACTTACTGGACGGGTAC